CACTTCCTGGGCTCTAGTGGTCCTCTCACCCTAGCCTCCTGAGTAGCTGGGACCACAGGTGCATGCCACCATACGCAACCAATTTTTGGTAGAGACAAGGTTTTGCCATGCTGCCTAGGCTAGCAGTCTATTTGTTCAGATGTTTTTCCAAACTATTTTTGTAAATACTCTATTTCTTGTCATGTATAGTAATTGAAACCTATGTTAATTTAGCTCATGTTCTGCTAATGTTTGGACAGCAATTTAATTGAATGCTAAAAGTTAAAAAACAACACCATCAACCAAAAGAAAAAATAGTCACACACTTCTCCCATTTTTTTTAGATTGGCTCTGTGTTGTGGCACTCCTTCAGCAGTTAGCCAGATGTGTACTTAGCTTAGAGATCAGCCTGATATGTAAGCTTTAGGTCTCCACTAGGATTTTCTGAGCATGTGTCTTGTCCTGTGTATGCATATACCTTTCTAAATTCCTCCATGTGGATGCTTTTGAATGTCCTTATTTCTCAAGTAACCTCCCCCAGCTTTTGCTCCCAGATTCAGTCTGTTTTATGTCTTAATCCATAATATTTGCCCTAAGCATTGTGGTTTGTTAGTTTGCCTTGGAGCATTGTGAAACAGTGGCTATCACTTTTCCAATCTGCATTCTGAATCGAGTGGAACATACATAAATACCTTTTATTGGTCCTTCAAATAGCCCTCAAAGAGGTTAGGACAGACATACACAGTAATTTGTCAATAAGGTTTGCTTAGCTCACTCTGGAATCAGGTACTGAGATCTCACACTAGGAACACAGGCTGATGCTACTTTAAAACTTCCACTACTTTAGGACTGCCACTGCTCTGGGGTGAGGGCTGTAACAAGTACAAGTAAAAACAGCAGAAAACTTTCTTATTATTTTCAAGTGAACTTTTTCTTGATTTAACATTTACTTGGTTCATGTAAGCCTTTGAATGTTTTCCGGAGTTCTGACAATATTGATTATGACAGTTCCTGCTTGTTTCTTGATGTTTCTGTGGGTGCATAAGAGCTTGAAGCTGCCTACTCCTCCATTTTATCTGACTTCCTCTGTCATTCTTAATATATTCATTCAAAGGTTTACAGGGGTGTAAACATGCACTGAAAAATGAATGTATAAAAAAAATGTAAGTAGCACACAGGACATGTTATTGAGTCAGGCCTAGGAATGGCACACAATATTTTCATTCCTATTTCATTGGCTAAAAATGATGCACATGCCCCCACTTAATTCCAGTGAGGTTAAGGAATGTTGGGTAGTGTTGTTCCCAGGAGAAATAAAGAATAGGTTAAGTAAACAACCAGCTAGCTTCTGCTACAACTAGCATTCAGTAAATATCCTTTTACAGCTAGAGTTGTTTCTTTGAGAAAGAGCTGTGACGTATCAGGCAAGAGGATTGTTCCTCTTGAGGTTAGGCTGCCAGCTCTAAGAATCTTTAGAGAACATTTATTCCAATTTCCTCAAGTGCTAGAATCTCTGATGCCCAAAATTTGGGGGTTGGGAGGAAGGAATATATGCCAAAGTTAGCACCAGAGCTGAGACAAGAGCCAGCTAGACTGTTTGCCTCTCATCTGTATCATTGGCATTCAAACATTTTTTGCTATTACTAGAGTGAGAAATAACTTTTTATCACAACCCAATATATACTTTCATGGTTTTTTTTTTTTGTTTTTTTTTTTTTTTTGGTGTAGAAGGTTTATTTATTTTTCCCACGAATCACTCAAAGTTTAGGTCAGTGGGAAATAATTTTAATCAAAGAATTGTACATTTTCCTCCCACATATCCTGCCTTGTCTTAGGAAATGACACTGTGATCCATTTTATTACAAATAAAATATTACAAAATATTTACAGGAAAATATTAAAAATAAACACAAAAGGCAAGATGAAATAAACTGTTTTTGTCAGAAATCTCCACTCCAGTGCCCACAGCACACAAGAAGAGTCAAAACAAAATAAGCAACTAAGATACCTCTGATCACAAATTTCCAAAGAACTGGAGAAGGGGAAGAAACAGGATGAAAATGGTAGTGTGAAAGGGAATGATGTTAGCAGCACTGCTTCAATAACTGATCTATTCTTAATGACATACTCTGTTTTATGTGCAGTAAATTCTGGACAAGGCTAAATTTTAGGATATTCCTTGAACTGAAATTAGAAAATACCCTGACGGTGGAAGCAGCTCTTTCATCTAAGCTTAATAAGAGTCTCTTTCTTCATGGGCCACTGTTATGAACAGAAGCCTGTTCTGGCATCAAAAGCTGTCACAGTAGCCCTTCCATCTCTTTCATGAAAGCCTCAAAGACATCATCCTTAGTTTGTACAGAGACAGGAACAGAAGATCAGATTTGGGTGCTGCTTTGGCAAGAGGCACAGCAGAATCATCCTCTGACTTTCTTCGGGGAGCAGAAGTAGCCCCTTTATTCTCCCGATGTACTCTCAGTGCATTGGGCACAAATCAAGTAATCTCTGCCTTGGGGTTAGTGATCTGTGGCTTGGCACTGATGGTTACTGTGGCTTTCTTCTCAATGATGGCTGCACTCATATCATCCACCTTGGGTCGATGAATCAAGTTGGGTGGGGTACTTAAAACCCCAGGGTTCGGCAAGGGAGCTGGTGGGAAAAGCCCAGAGGCGAGCAGGTCCAAGGGGAGGCGCCAAAGGTGGGCACATCATGCTAGGACGAGGTGGAGGAATACCTGGAGATGCAAGGGGAGGTAGCCTTGGTGGGGGTCCCCAAGGAGGGGGACCAGGAGACAGACCTGGAGGTGGACCTGGGGGAGGGCCACGGGGTAGGCCTGGTGGTGGTCCTGGAGGTAAAAGTCGGGGTAAAGGCCCTCAGAGTCCTGGCATTCCATGTGGTCTCAGGAATGGAGGAGCTCCGGGAGGTGGACCAGGAGGCCGTAATGGTGGAGCAGGTGGTGGTAAAAGAGATTGTGGTCCTGGCATGGGAGGTGCTTGTATCTGAGAAGGAGGAACAGACTGCGGGGGAGCCTGCTGCTGTGAAGAAGCAGTGGATGTGCCATCAGAATAGGATTCCGCTTTATGTTGTTTTTGTGATTGCTTTTCTGCTTCAGAGTCATCAGAGTCATCTTCATCATCATCTTCTGAAAATTCCTCTACTTCCCGTCCCTCCTCATGGATTTCTTGACCTGCCATACGAAGCATCATGGCTTGAAGAGGAGTCAGTTCCTTCATATTCTTCTTTTTCTTCCTTGATTTTCCAGGCATATCTGCAAACCGTACACTCAGATCTGACTTCTTTTCTTCGTTGTTGTCTGTCTCACCATCATTACGGTGCACAAATTCATCCCCCTCACTTTCTCCATCTGATTTGCCAGTGTCACTGTCATCAGTACTGTCATCATTGCTTATCTTGATCCATGCCCTCAGAATAGCCATCATCTTCACTGGTGCTAGAAACATCATCATCATAACCTTGCTGGGCAAGTTCAGGACTACATAACATGTCTTCATCTCACCTACGAGGGGGAAGATCTAGGATAAAACCAACTTTACGGCATACATCTGCACGACTGGAGGAGGAGGTGAACCGGGGGAGGGCCAGGAGGTTTTCTGCCAGGGGGCAACTGTGGAACACCATGTCCAAGAAGAGGAAGGATAGAAACTGCCCGAAATGGAGGTCCATAGGCTGAGGTTTTCTTTAGAATGGAAGATGGCTGGGCACCAAGAAGTGGAATGTCCAGGATCAAAATGTTGGAAGGAGCATGCGGCATATCTGGCAAAGGAATACTCTCCACTTCCACATGCTGAGCGTTCTTGACAGCATCAAAATATTGGCTGAGTTGAGCCCTCTTCTGTTCATATTCTACTTCTAGCTTTCTCGGTTCTTTGTGAATATCTGTTCTCTTTTTTATAGAGTCGTAGAATACGTTCAGAGGTTTCACACAGCTTTTTACGCTTGCCTTTCAGTATTTTCTCATTTAGTTGTGGCTGTTGCACTGGGTTAAACTCCATTTCATCCAATTTCTCCATATCTCAGATAATCTGTTTTGGATCCCTCATCTTTAAAGCTGCAGCTCGAACCGTCATGTGCTGGTTTTTGTTCTTTAATTGTCACTTCCAGGCTTCCTTTCGGGCTTGGTCTGTGGGGTTCATAATTTTCCACTTAGTGGATGATGTAGATCTCCGTCCCATGTTGACAATTTGTATGGTTTACTTGTTCATTAAAAAAAGAAAAACACTTCTGCTGTGCTCCCAGGACTGTGAGAAGCAGGGAGGGAGTGATTCCTGACCTCTTTTACTTGGTAAGGGCCTTCAAGTCGGCCTCTCAGTCAACCCCTCAGCTACCACCATCTTGAAAGCTTGACTTTCATGTATTTTATCTGTAAAACTTTTATAAAACGGTACTGATGTGGGTAGTGCTTAAGACTATTTGTCAAATATTTCAGCTCCCCACATTCCACCACATTGAAGAATTGCATTTTCTTGTACTCTTTGTAGTTATTAATGATCATGTGATATGTATGGCCAAGGGCATGTGAGTAACGCAATATGGGTCATTTCTTGGGGAAAACTTTAAGAGCTTGTGCATAGTTCACAATGTTGTAATCATGGCAGCACAAAGATAAAGCTTCTGTAACTCTGAGTACCCCATTAAAGATGATGTAGAGCAGAGCCCTCAGGAACGCCTTGGTAGGCAAATATAAGAAGTGAGAAATAAGCTTTTATTATTTTAAGACACTGAAATTTAGGGTTTGCCTTTTGTCATACTACAGACTAGCCTATACTGACGGATACAAATACTTAGCTTTACTTCATTCTATGTACTCTTATATTTGATACTATTATTCTATTTTATCTTTCAATGCTGGCTGCAACCTAGTGAATTGGTCTTATGACCTAGTAGTGGGGTTACAACTTGCAGTTTGCAAAATACTACTATGTACAAGTCCACTTGTCCCATAGGTGATCCCATCTCCAAGCTCCCATAGAGCAATATTAACAACTCCCATCTCTCTACAGGACTGTGGTTATGGAGAGGGTGGAGATGCATACTGCACAGCCTGCCCTACTCACAGGTACAAAAGCAGATGGGGCCACCACAGATGTCAGACTTGCATCACCTGTGCTGTCATCAATCGTGTTCAGAAGATCAACTGCACAGCTACCTCTAATGCTGTCTGTGGAGACTGTCTGCCCAGGTGAGCCTGGTTTATGAGACCAAGTTTGTCTGGGCTTTTCTAGCTGTTGGAGGTTTCTCCCATCCTCACCTCTTAGAACTTAGTTGAGGTATTCTAACCATCAACATATTATTCAGTTTAAGCTCCCAGAAGAGAGAAGTGGTATCTTCCTAAGATTCCTCTATAAAGTGCCTAGCGCATTGTCAGTCACAGATGAGTACTTGACAGCTTTTTCATCATCACTCTCAGCCCAGGAACAAAGTTCAAGATAAATCTCACTGTAGACTTAAAAGAAGTTATGGTGTATTTGGTAGCAAAGAAGTGCTCCCCTCTCTTGTGGAATTAGGTCTCCTTTGTGGTCCATGGTATGGTGAATGGGAAAAGAAGTGGAGTGTCTAGGCTTCTGAGTCAGAATGAGAAACAGAGGCAGATACCTCACAATGAAGGGTGGGCACTTATTTTCAGGTTGGCAAAATTCTTATCTGTTTTTCCAGGAAAAACTGGTCCAAGTGCATTGCTTGTTTGATCACCCTGCCATTCCTATTTGCTCTGAACACAGGTTCTACCGAAAGACACGCATTGGAGGCCTGCAGGACCAAGAGTGCATCCCGTGCACGAAGCAGACCCCCACCTCTGAGGTTCAATGTGTGTACTCAAGTTGTCTTCTTCCCTTTCCTCCTCAACCCATTGGGTGGCAGCAAGATAGGGTAGTAAAGACTTCCCCTATCCCCTCATACCCTTTCCTGTAGAATAGAGTGGCAAGGGAATCAGATCTGAATTCTGGTTTCATGACATATTATCTATGTAACCCTATGCAAATCATTCAAACTCATTGAACTCATTTCCCTCCTCTGAAGAAAATGTGAGTCATGATAATAATTTTTCTTCATACGTTATGTGGTGGCTGTCTAGGTCTAATGATAAAATGGGTATTAGGAAGTACTTTACAAATTATAACATATGTACACTTATGAGATATTACTATTATACGAAATATATAGGAGGCCCTAGGGCTGAACTTGTAAAGGCTGAATGAAGAACTAGGGTCTAATCCAGGTGTCCCCAAACTTTTTACACAGGGAGCCAGTTCACTGTCCCTCAGACCGTTGGAGGGTCGCCACACACCGTGCTCCTCTCACTGACCACCAATGAAAGAGGTGCCCCTTCCTGAAGTGCAGCGGGGGGCTGGATAAATGGCCTCAGGGGGCCGCATGCAGCCCGCGGGCCATAGTTTGGGGATGCCTGGTCTAATCTATGCCTATATCAGTATCCATTTATCTTACTATCTATCATTTTTGTCTTCTATTGATTATTATTTTTAAATTATTAATATATATTTTTAAATCATGAAAAAGTTCCAACACATAAAAATATTTTTTAAGTTCAGAAAAATGTAAAATTAAAATGCAGTTACCCATCATCCATCCAAAGCTGATAAATCATAGCATTTTGCATATTTGCTTCAGATTTTTTAAAAGAATGAAGATTTCACAGATATAACGGAATTCGCGATCCTCTCAGTCCTATTATCTCTCTACCTCCTCAGATACAACCACTATCCTGAAATTGTATGTATTCTGTTGGTAGACTATGCTACAGTAACAAACAAACTGCAAAATCTCAGTGACTTTATACAATAAAAGTGTATTTTTCACTGTGCAACGACCTTCTTACCTCATTTGACTGTGCCTTCTAAACCATAGAGCTTCCAGGTCAATGATACAGGGGAAGAGATGGAGGAGACATACTGGTTATTAACTGCCTCAGTCTGGAATTGACACATGTTATTTCGACTCACAGTTCATTGGCCAGAAGTACTCTGATGGCCTTACTGCAAGGGTATAAGGGGAATACAGGGGCTCATGTGGATAATTGGTAAGCACTATGCCTCTGCCATACTCTCCACTAATGTTTTAATACTTAGATTCTTTTGTGATATATGTACATATTCATAACCAATATATACTGTTATGTATTTTATAATGTTTTATAGAAATGATATCAAGCTACATATTCTCTTTCTCCAATTTGCTTTTCCCCTCTAGATTATTTATATTGATCCATAAAGGTCTTCAAGTGCTGTGTAATAATACAAAATTTTAGGATTACATCATGATCTGTTTATCCTGTGCTCTAATGATGAATGTTTTAGCTTGTTGCCATTTATCTGGATTGTATTATTAAATGTGGCATGGAAAGATCATAAGATATGTGCATCTTCAATTAATTGTACTAATTTGTACATACCAGCAGTATGTGCAAATTCTTTTGCTTTGTTCTTTATAATTTTGCCTGCTCTGGAAAGAAGTAAAACCAGCATAGGCACTCTAACTGGGGAAGGCCCTAGGGAGAAGGGTGACAGCCTGAGGAAGTCCAGGCCCAGGGTCAGGGTGACTGTTAACTGCCCTCACTAACTGACCTGCCGCATTTTTTTTTTTTTTTTTGGTCTCACAGGTGCCTTCCAGTTGAGCTTAGTGGAGGCAGATGAACCCACAGTGTCCCCTCAGGAGGCCACACTTGTTGCACTGGTGAGCAGCCTGCTAGTGGTGTTTACCCTGGCCTTCCTGGGGCTCTTCTTCCTCTACTGCAAGCAGTTCTTCAACAGACATTGCCAGCGTGGTAAGGGTGGCTGTTTAACGTTTCACATGAATCAGGAACAAGGCTCTTATTGGCAGAAGACAGGACTGTTCTGAGGTTGAGAAATAATGGGCCTTTTCTACCATGCTTTAAAACCCCATGAATAGTCTTCTCTTGGTCTGGGGAACTATCTGGGGCTGCAGTAGGAAGCATGGGACTTCAGAGATTCCTGAGACTAACCCTGAGAGTTTAGAAGACCTGGTTCATTACATTTCAGAAGTTTGTAAAGGAATGTGGTATGGTGGGATACCACAGGAAAGGAAGCCAGAGACCTATGTTCTACAACTACCTCTAAATCACTACGTAGCCTTAGACAAGTCATCTAGCCTCTTCAGAACTCTTTCTTCCTAATTGTTAAGATAAGAGATAGGATCGATCTTTTTGATTTCTGAGTTCTTTTACAATTCTTTATATCTATACTACTAGGTATAAATTCTAGAGCATGTCAGGAATTGAGAAAGGCTCGGCTATATCTGGGATATGACTGAAATAAAAGTGGTTGAGTGCTAAGGCAACTGCTATCAGTATACTAACTTCACAAATGGGGATAACTGAAACCCCAATGTCCGGAAGAGTTGGCAAACCTAGACTTTTTTTCTCAAATAATACTGATGTCCAAGAGGTCTGGCCCAGTCCATATGAGATGGCCATGTACAATTCCAGATGGTAAATCATATATAAAGTCACACTAGATGAATTCATGGAAGACAGTTTTTCCACAGACCATGGAGAGAATGGTTCAAGCGCATTATATTTATTGTTCAATTTATTTCTATTATTAATATTAATATATAATAAAATAATTATACAACTTAGCATAATGTAAAAAGAAAAAGTCACACTAGCATTGTGATCTTTATTAAGCACAACTTCAGCTACTAGACAAGAATATGGGCCAGAAAATCCAGCTCACTGAGGGCAAAGATGGAGGAAGTGAGAAGATGGCTGGTCAGGACCAGGCAAAGAGTTAGAACTCCAGCCAAGAATACCAAGGTTCATTGAAGCTTCAGTGCCATTAAGGGAACTGAGAGTTAGGCAGGAACACTGAAACAGGAACTCAGACCAGAAAATGAAGTTGATTTATAAGGGGAATAATAAAGTTTACTAGATAAAAGAGTGCTCAGGACTCCTTTTCAGCCCACTGGACAGTGGACCCAAAGCAGCACTATTTGTGCTAATGTAGATTTGCCTTGGTCAGTTTGGCCCTGGGGCCTGGCAGATGACCTTGAAAAACCCAAGAGGTATATTTTGTTGTGCCCTGGCTTAAATGGAGATGAATATAGCATTTCATGGGCTGTAGGGTACATGGGGAACACTGTTGTCCCTTTATGATCCTTCTCAAAGTCTACTTCTCTCTTTGCTAGCTCCTGGGACATTGTGACTCAGGGTAGACCTTCCTGTCTCTGACTTTGGAGGCCAGTGTCCCAGATAAGAGGTGTTACTTAGTCCCTGGGTGCATGGACATGAAACATGAGCAATGAAGCATTTGGACCTCAGGGTCCAGAAGGTGAAAATGAGAGAATATCTGAGAGCTGCCTCAGGAGAAGAGAGATGGGTAACCCTTTTCTGCTGTCCTATCCTGAAGATAATAATGTGGTAGGCTTCTTGGAATATAAGGGCAAGAAGCTTCCCCAGTGTTTTTATAAGGGGTAGGAGGGCTAGACATTTTCTCATGCTGGAAAACTTTTTCAGGAGTCACTGACTTACACACATACCGGGGTGAGATGTATGTATGAATTAGATCCAATGTAAGGTTGCAAGAGAGACGAGTAGCAACTGTGGTAAACTAGAGAGTGCTCTCTTGTCTAAAGGGGAATCCACTACTCAGCTCCAGGTCTTTGTAACCATGTGGAAATATTTAGTGTTGCAGAATCTACTGCATTTTCAAGAGAATTCAGAAATCTGGATTTTTGTGTGAAATTGTGGTAAACATAGTCAACGAATTTGAATAAAGAGCAAAATCACAACCAAAGTTAAGAGGCCAAACACACATCTCAGAGGTTCTGTTTGTGACCTGATGTTGAATCAGACCTATGCATAAAAGGAATATTACTTTTCTATCATCATAACAAATCACCACACATTTAGTAGCTTATTATCTCACAGTTTCCATAGCTTAGAAGTTCAGCAGGCTGTTCGGTCTCTGTTTAAGAGTCTTACAATGCCAAAATTAAGATATTGGCAGGGCTCTGTTTCTTTCTGGAGGCTTGGGGAGATAATCTGTTCGCTTGACCATGCATGCAGATGGCAGAATTCAGGTCTATGGAGTTAAAGGGCTTAGGTCCTATTTCCTTGCTGACCTTAAGCTGAAGACCATTCCTAGCCTCTAGGGCCACTTACTTTTTTTGGCTCATGGCCCCCTTCTGTTTCCAAAACTAGCAATGGCGAGTTGAGTTTCTCTCATGCCACACCTCTCTCATACTCTCTGTCTCCTCTGTCTTCCTCTTCTGCTTTTCGGGCCACAGAAATACTTTGGACTCATATGAGTAATCCAGGATTCTCTCCCTATTTTGAGCTCCATAACCTTAATTCCATCTGCAGAGTCTAGTTTGTCATATAAAGTAATGTATACAGACATAACACCAGGCCATAAAGATTATGGGAAGGGAGAAGGTATAAAAATCCTGTTTCCCACAAAGACTTCTTTTTGTCTAGAGAAATTGATTATTTTCCCTGATCCAGTACCAGGTAGCCCCAATCTGATACCCAAATGTAAGTATGTTTCTCAACTGTGTCACCTCAGCCTGGTGCTAGGTGCTCTAGTTCCCAGGGAGAGGAAAGGAAGAATCAGCTCCCAGACATCTCCCTATCTTGTGCTCAGTACCCAGTGCCGAGCTGAGAAGAGCACCTGCTTTTGGGTAACCCAGTGGCTTTCTGCTTCGAGTTGCAGGAGGTTCGCTGCAATTTGAGGCTGATAAGGCAGCAGAGGAAGAATCTCTCTTCCCCATCCCACCCAGCAAGGAGACCAGTCCTGAGTCCCAAGTGAGTGAGAGCATCTTTCAGACGCAGCCACTTAACCCTATCCTCGAAGACGACTGCAGCTCGACTGGTGGCTTCCCCACACAGGAGTCCTTTACCATGGCCTCCTGCGCCTCAGAGAGCCACTCCCACTGGGTCCACAACCCCATCGAATGCACAGAGCTGGACCTGCAAAAGTTTTCCAGTTCTGCCTCCTGTACGGGAGCTGAGACCTTGGGGGAAAACACAGCTGAAAGCACAGGAGACAGGCTGGAGCTCAATGTGCCCTTTGAAGTTCCCAACCCTTAACTTTAACAAGGTGAGCCAGAAAGATGGATCAGAAAAAAAAGCAAAACAGAAATTAGAGACCACCCTCAAGGAATTCCCCTCCGGAATATTATTGTTCACAAGGTGTGGAGGAACAGCAGCAAGCTAGGAACACTTGTGGGTGGAGTGACAACAGCGGTGATGCTGATTTTTTAGCCAGACAGATCTCACACTTCTGGGTCTCCAATTGTCAGGGAACTGGCAAGGTTGTCATAATACGAGTCTCTCCATTCTGGCCTTTCCCAAGCTCTTTCAGGGCCCCACTATCTAATGGTCACATTCAGGTATCTCCCTTTATATGTACAAGCAGCATAGCACAGTAGAAAAATATATACAAACCTTGTCATCTGGAAACCCTATATTTCAAATCAACCTACATTCCCTAATAGCCATACGAACCTTGTGCATATCCTTTCATTTTACAGAGGCAAGAACTGAGACACAGAGAGGGAAAATTAGTTTCTCAAAGTCACAGAACAAATTCGTGGGCTAGGACTGGGCAAGAACCCAAGTTTGGGGGCTCCATTTTAGAGTTCATCCAACTGCACCATTGCAACGATTTGATAGCCAATGTTACTTTCTCAAAGGCTTAAGTAGCATAAGATAGGACAGGAGGTAGATTTCCAGTTTGCAACTAATCAAATACCTTGTATCGCCCACTGATGTATTTCTTCAGTCTTCAGTTAATACATCTTCAGTTCTCCCAATGACTTCCCTGCTCCCTACATCCAACCTAAAAAAATGTGAACAAATGTAGATTTGAAAGTCATAACTGATATGAAATGTGAAAGTTATAACTGATATCAAATCAATAAACTTAGGTACCGTCAAGGTTATCTAGTCCAATTCTTCTTCCAAGGCATGTGTCCCTTTTATAATAATCCCACTAAGAGTTTGTGTAGTCCTTGCTCACATACTCGAGGTGGCAGAGGGCTGACTACTTCTCAATGTATATTACAATATACACAATTGTGACTGGCGGGTTTGAAGTCAATGTAAAAAAAAGAGCTTTCTGTCTCCCTTTAGTACCTACCTATGCATCCTGGCTCTGTTCCTTGTGCCAGACAGACCTCATCTGTTTCCTCTGTTTTGTGATAGCCCTGCAGAGGCTTAAAGATAACATTGCTTCTCTGGAGAATACCACTTTAGGTTCTTCTAAATTTTGTGGAGCTTAGAACTAAACCCATCTTCATGATAAATGATTTCATCAATGTAGAATAGGGTAGAATTGTCATATCCCTATCTAACTAATGTATTTCTTCTGTTACAACCTCAACCATTGGCTTAACGTATGATATTTGGAGGGGTAGAGAGAAAAGGATGCTAGTGAGATTTTCCCACGTTTCTAATTTGATCTGCTCTCTCCCTAGGTCTCTTGGGCTCCTGGCAGCCTTGCCCAGTTGTTCTCTCTGGACTCTGCTTCCTTGTTCGTGTACCACAACAGCAACAGGGGCCTGAAATGTGTCCACAACACCTAATATTCTGCAGATGGGGCATATTCTATCCCATCTCACCAGATAATTGATTTTCCATTTCATCAGGACTGATCCGCAGAATTTCTTGCTTCCCCATTGTAGCCTGGGGAGCCAGATTTCCCATTCTTGGGACTACCAGATATGTTCCTAGCTCAACTTGATGATAGAGAAGAGGTGAGAGAAGGACAGTGAATGGGGTAGAGTTTTCATGCCTGCATTTTTGGTCAGGTAAGCCTCTCAAAATTGTGTCAGCACATCTACCCAGCACTTTAAGGCAAAATCAAACCCTTCTCCCTTTTTAGCTCCTCAACACTGCCTCTTTCCTCAACACACATGTGTGCGCACGCACACACACACACACACACACACACGTATTAATATCTATCTTGGGGGAGGCCTGGTGCCGTAATTCCCCGGCTCATGTCTCACAGACTTCACTAGTTGTGACAGCTCTGAAGCCAGCACATTTGCTAAGGTCCTCTTCCCTACAAGTAGATCTCTACCCTTATTTAGTGTGGATTTAAACTAGTGTCTTTTTTTAATAGTCCTTCTTAAAGTTACTTTCAACATTTATTTCTCTTCTCTTCTTGCCTTTTTTGTCCCTTCCAGGTTCCTCATCTTCTAAAGCCCAAAACTCAGTCTCTAGATCCCAAGATCAACTCAAAGCTCAGAGCTTTGGACTCTGGGTTGACAGTGAAGCTCCTAAGGTCTCAGGGACAAAGGAGATAAAGTTCTCACTGAGGCCTGGCCTTAAGGCAGCTTAGGGACCATTTTGTGCTTTATTGGTTTAGAAAAAAAAAAAAAAAAAAATTATCATTTCATTAGCTCTTAATATCAGTTTCACATGCTTCTCAGCATGAATAAAACTACTCTTTCCATGGCTCTCCGATAACAAACAGAGCAAATGAGACCCTCAGGGCTCAGGTGTGAGCATCACAAGTTTATTTATTTATTTTTTTTATTTATTCATTTTTTTTTGAGACGGAGTTTCGCCCTTGTTACCCAGGCTGGAGTGCAATGGCGCGATCTCGGCTCACCGCAACCTCCGCCTCCTGGGCTCAGGCAATTCTCCTGCCTCAGCCTCCTGAGTAGCTGGGATTACAGGCACGTGCCACCATGCCCAGCTGATTTTTTGTATTTTTAGTAGAGACGGGGTTTCACCATGTTGACCAGGATGGTCTCGATCTCTCGACTTCGTGATCCACCCGCCTTGGCCTCCCAAAGTGCTGGGATTACAGGCTTGAGCCACCGCGCCCGGCCTTATTTTTAACTCTCCCTTTTTGTCCATAATGGGCCAATTGGGCTGATTCCCACTCCCTCAAAATGTGTCAACTTTGGAAAGAAAAAGCACTCAGATGAGTGGAGCAACTGGCTCCTTCACTTGAAAGCACCTTATATAGTCTGGGATGTTAGACGTGACAATTTGGAAAAATTAAGACATGATAGGGCACAGTTATCCTAGGTTAAGAATGCTGGAATTCACTACATTTATGGGTGTCTCACTTTACGTTTTGCAATGTGCTTTCATAGTCATCATCTCAGTGGGTTTTTACACAGACCCAGAGGTGGGCAAGGCAGAGATTATCATCCCCAGTTGACAGATGATAAAACTGAAGCCCAGAGATGGAAAGTGATTGGCTTTAAGCTATACAGTTATCCAGAGGTGAACAGCAAGCTAGGATGCCTTCATGGCCTCTTCAATATCTTGAAATCTTCATTTTCTGGAAGAAAATGTTATGAGGTAGAAGGATGTTTTGTTTTCTTGCCATATCTGTTTGAGAAAACAACTCTGTCTGAAAACAAGAGGGGTAGATGGACATATAAGACCCTTTTGCCTGAATATTAATGAGGTAATGTCCTTGCCCATCATATGAAGCCTGTTCTCTCTTCGTCCCACCAGTTTCCCGCTCCTCTTTCTGCCAGCCTGGTACACTCTCTGCCAGGTCGGACGACAGTGGAAAGCTAAGAGATTTGCCATTCATCACTGTCCCACAGAGGTTAGAAAATGTGAAGGGTTGCGAGGCTAGACAGGGTTCATTTTTTTTCTTTCTTTTTTTTTTTTTTTTTTTTTTTTTTTTGTCCCTTGGGTGTGAAAGAAGGGATATAGGCTAGAGCCGGTAGGAGCATTCATTTTTCTTTCCCCCACTTACCTCCCACTCCCCAGTCCCCCCACTTCTCCTTTCTGCAATTTGAGTCTCTAATTTTCGTTTGGGTGACTTAAGACTTTAACTTTATTTAAAAGTCGGAATGGGCAATTATCCCATCTTTAAAAGCCTAGACAGATACTGTAAATGTTTGGGCAAAACTGTCAATAACAATTTAGTGCTTTTCAGTTTAAAAAAACCTCATTGATACATTATGCTTATTTTAAATATGAGGAAACTGAGGCCAAAACAGTAGTGACTTACCCAAAGTAATTCATATTTGAGAACGATAGTATGGCCTACACGTCCACCCACAGACCCAAGTGTGCATTCCCTGACTGAGAGTAGAGGCCAGAGAAGGGCAGCTAGAGCAGAAACTAGGCTTGGCTATGGCATAGAGACAAGTGGGGTTGTTGAAAGGTCCTCTGTAGTTATTTCTCTTCACTACACACTGTGTAAATGATCCTTAAAAGATCATTAAGGAGCATGGGAGAGAGATTAGGAGACTGATTAAGACAGCCCATCCCCACTCGCAGGAAAAGTAGCTAGCCCCATAGTTTGTTGAGTGTCTCTGAGGCAGCAGTGTAGTCTCCTATGGAAAAAAAGAAAAAAATAGCACATGATTTCATCTGCATCTTAGTTCAGTTGGGGCAAGATAAATAATTTTTTACTTTTCTCTCCCTCTATTTCTCACCCCTTACAGATTATAAGTTTTCTTCTGCCTTCTTCTCTAGACTCACTGCACTCCCTGGGGCAGTTGCAGGGTGTTGTATATGTTTGAAGAACAATGGTCCTGCTCTACAGCATAGGGCAGGGCAAACACTTTCCCTCTAGATCCCCTGGGCCTCTCCCCATATTCTAGGTGCTCTACACCCTCAGCAGGGAGGAGGGCTGAAGTTTGCCATTTTGAAACCTTACAGAACATTTCTGAACTAAAGTAATCTTCCTTCTGGAGCCTGGGTTTCCCAGACTACCTCCCAGCAGTCCCTCAAAGACAGCCCTCAATCCATGTAGGGACATCTGAGTATGCCTCTTTCTATTGAAATATCAATTGAATCTCAGCTGTCTCACCACTGTTCCCTTTGATTCTTTCTCAGTTATCTTTTTACCTTTAGTTCCCACCTATACCTCTCATGCTCAGAGAAAAACAAGTTCCATGGAGGTTGTATTCTTTATTATCTGAGAATCTGCCTGAAACTTGTACAGTTAGCTCCTGTCCCACAAGTATTAGGTGGTTCATGAAGTACATTAGGCAGAATGTGCACTTCATCACCAGGTTCTAGCTCTGGCAAAAGAGTGCTCTCTACGGCGAGATTATTGCTTTTAGAGTTTTGTTAAATATTTTAGAGTTTTAATACATAAATACTTTTAGTAAATACTTTAGTCCGTCTACAAACACTGATTAAGGGCCCCTGAGGCAACCAATTGATCAGATTACTAAAAGTAATTGGGGAAAAAAGCAAAAAAGGTCTCATTGTACTGGACTGAGGATTAGAAGCAATTAAAATAGAAGCCTGTACCAAGCAAGCAGCCTGGCCCCGCATAGGTCTTAGCAAATATGTGGCAACCAACGGTTTAGGCCTTGGCCATGAGGTGCTGTGTTTTTTGGTGGCATGTTTTGTTTTGTTTTGTTTCTGCTACGGTTTATTATCATCTCACTGACTTTCACTGATCATGTTTTCACCTTCTGGTAGAAGTAGTAGTATCCAGAAAGAGGATGATTCGGCTTGAGCAGGCTGCAGGTGCTACAGGTATTCAAAGGCTGCCATGTGGTTGGCAGTAGTTCAAGCCCACATTTAACACTGCTGCTCTAGAGGAAAGATAATGGTTGTAACACAATATGATAAAGTGCCAGAGCCAGCCTTCTTCACTGTGCTTGCTCATGGTATGAATATTATGTGAACAGCCAAAGCCAGACCCAGAATCACCTTAATTCCAACTTTTTATGGGTCAGCAATTGGAGGTGGCAATTGGCTTTGCGTTTTAAGGTATTTGGGGCAAAGGTGAAGTGAAGGATGTTTTTCCTTTATAATTTCTGGTTGGGCCATAGCAAATGTCATAGTTGAATATTTGCTTCAGGAAAGTTCTTTTTACAGTTTTCCTTTTCAATGCTTTAAAGTTTGGGACATATTTGTTTGAGCACTATGCTTTTATGTTTTTCGACAAAGGGGTTATTGGCCAGTGGAAGCACAAAGTACACTTGATAGAAACATTTTCAACACACCCTTGAGCCTAAACAATAGTTAAGTTGTCTTCATATGAACCAGCAAAAGAAAAAAAATATAGCTTTTGTTTGTAAGGAAGTGGGGAGGTATTTGTTGAGAATGAATTGGGTTTTTTGGTTTACTGTTTTTCTCTCCATATACCTTGACTTGGATTTTGACAGGAGGGAGTCTGGGGAAACAATTTTTTCCTACAACAATCTCAGATCCAGGCTAGGAAAGGATTCAGTACTGCAGCATACCCCTCCACAACAGACAGCCCTGTCACATTGAGATCAAAATCCCTCCTGTTCCCCTCCTCCCTGCCAACCCCACCTCACTAGCTAGGTCTTCGGTGTTTTACATTGAATATTGGTACATTTTAATTTTTTTTTTTCATAAATGTGTTATTTATAAAAATTTTGTTAAATCTTAAGCCATATGCATGTGTAGATAATGGCAGAGCTATGTTTGTTTATGATTCTCTGCAAGCATTTTATATTGGCCAATAAACAGAAATATATCCAAACACCTTGTTTATTTCTCTACTTTCAGAGAACCAGGTGGCTTATTTTGCTAGTGTGTCTCTTCTCAGTGAGCACAGCAAAAAATGTGTTTCTGATCATCAGTAGTGCTGGGATTCATTGACTTGTCACACAGGAGATCTGGGTTATAGTCCAAGCTCTCTTTCTTTTTTCTAAAATTGTTTATGCCATTTATATCATCCTCTGGGATAAGGATCTACTAGAAACTGTTGTATTCTAAACTAATACTTCTCAAACAGGGTTCCATGGCCCTAGGGAACTGTGCATGAGTCTTCTGAGGTCTGCAAAATCTCTAGGAATTTACGTGTGTGTCTGTGTGTGTGTCTGTGTGTATGTGTGTGTGTGTTTTCATTTTGATCATAATTTCTTAAAATACAAGCATATTCTAGCTAGACCATCTGGATGATTACCTCTTAAGTGTACTGCCGTGCCATTTCAGGGTCTCTATGTGTGTTGATAATCTTACCAGATTAAAGGGACCACCTAAAGAGACACTATTTAATTTTGAATGTTATACTTTACTATAACTTAATTTAAGAGAGAGGAAAATCAAGTTTCCTTCCATCTTTAATATTCTATAATCTTGGCAACAACACATGTTGGCAAGGATGTGGAAAAATGAGAAACCTCATATAGTGGCGGTAGAATTATAAAATGGTATAACCACTTTTGAAAACAGTCTGGCAGTTTTTCTAAAAGCTAAAGCTAGAGTATAATCCAGTAATATCACTCCTAGGTATATACCCAATATAATTAAAAACACATATACACACAATACTTGTATACAAATATAGAAACATAATTTATAATATCCAAAAGGTGGAAATAACCCAAATTGTCCATCAACTGATTAATAGATAAAAAGTTGTGGTATACACATATAATAGAATACTATCCAGCAATAAAAAAGATTGAACTTCTGACACATGATACATTGTAGATGAACTTCAAATCATGCCAAATAAAATAAGCCAGATACAAGGGACGACATAGTGTATGATTTCGTATATATAAAATGTCCGCAAAAAAGCATGCTAATCAAGACAGAATGTAGATTAATGGTCGCCTTGGAATGGGCATG